TTAGTGGAAGAAAAAAAGAAAAAATACCGACTTATAATCAAATTGAAATATTTATAAGACGATTATTCTTGATTATGGATTCCAGATCAATTAATTTAAACGCATTCTTTACACACGAATTTAGTCCCCAGCCAGTATCGTTATGCAACAAAAAAAAACCTAAATTACTATATCAATCGTCAAAATCCGTACTGCAAAAAGTGTTGCAAGAAAAATTTGATACTGAATTTCTGGGATCACCCAGTTGGACATCTGATTCCAACGAATCGGCGTTAGCTATGGATGGTGGCTTATTGTTACAACAGTATCCACCTCGAGAAGCGAAAAAAACCATTAGCGATTATGCTGCTGAATTGATAAATCGATTTATCAAAGAACAGTTCAACAATTATGATCGAACTGATATTATTTTCGACTCTGCTGAGAGTAAACAATTAAAACAATTTATTGAACGACACGGTACCCATGCGACGGCAACTCAATATAATATTAACGAAGGGTCTATCTTGCCCGTGGGTGAGGAGTACCACAAATTATTACGTTTCAATCGTACTGTTGTTGCAAGAGCGGTGCGAGATGCATGGTTAAAGCTGTGGAAATTATTACCTGATGATAAAACAATTTTTGTGGCTGGTCCAGACGAAAAAACTTATTTGTTGGCTAGAATTAACTATGCTGAAGTTCCTGAATTAATGTCAAATCACGTGGAAGCAGATACTAGGATCTTTTTACATATTAAACATATTTCATCTTTCAAAAATATTGTTTAAGTCGTTATTTATGCTACAGACACCGATATTATAGTTTTAGCAATTGGTTTTGCGGCTGAATACGGACGGCATTAAGTTATATGTCCATTGCTCTACATCAAAGAAAAAACAATCAAAGTTTATCGATTGCTCAGTCATTGCATATAGATGCATAGAAGAGTACAAGTTTGAGCCTATGCTATTAATGGTTATACATGCCGAATTACTAAACATGTATTCCGTATCAATTAGTCGTGAATGCTTAATGTGTGCTGAACGACTGATAATCAATTGTATGAATTCATCATTATCGTGTAAGTTGTTATAATATTTTTTTTTTCACTTCTATACCTGAATCAACCTGGTCTTTTAGTTCCGTGGGTTATGGTATTTTAAATGTTTTCTCTGTAGCACAGCTTTGCTTAAGATACCTTCAACAACAATTAATAAATTTAAATTTCTAGCATTGAACCAAGTTAGAACTGCTCAAGCAACAGCACATTTGAGGTCCACCTCATCTGATTCGTTTTTAAATACGTTGTTACCCACAACAGATGCTTTTGAATATCATTGCAAACGTGTTGGTGTTCAGGTTTTGATTTGGTTTCAATCCTTATTCAACAATATCGAATATCCAGCACTAATTGGCAATGGGTACACTTCAGTTGACGGAGAAACAGTCGTAGAATGGAAATCTACAGCATCCATGCCTGATACAAGTATAATGATAACATGTGGTTGCAAGACTAGATGTAGTACGAAAAAATGTAAATGTTTCAAACATCAATGTAAATGTACAATCTTATGCAAGTGTGAAAGTTGTGAAAATACACATGTACACGATCAGCCTAGTTCATCATCAAATTCTTCGCAGAAGGTAAATATTTAAGTACATAACTAACTTGATATCTGTGGGTTTGACATGCATTGATTAAGATAATACTTGAGCTCACATTTAAAGAGTGCTCCTTAAGATTATTTATTAATTTTATAGGACAGAGCGAATGCTACTAGCAAAAAACCAATATTTTATCCTTTTAGTGAAGATTGGAGTGATATTGAAGTAATATATTTAACAATAACGCTGTGACTTCGTTCGATCTGGCTAAGGATCATTGTTTATTTTACTCTTCGTTTAGGACGCTAATATTAATGAAGATAGATTTGAAAATGATTTTTCGACAAATATTGATAGTAATCTTGTAAGTGTAATCATTCTTCTACTAACACTATAAAATGCTGTGTATGTATCTGTATACAGAATGATGTTTTATCGGACGAAGATGAGACGCGGGTCGACGAAGAGGACGATAACGATGAGGTAATTCGTTATTCAATCCGTTCAGAATCATTAAAGTTGCTAAAAGGTTTGAACGGCGGCTAATCATGTTTCTTTTTTTTCGTGCAGTCTGTTTCATCAACTGATTACTCGTCTGACGATAATGGCGAATTACTGACTCAACAGCAGCCTTTTTCAGTGGAATATGACTTGCCATCACAATTGTCAGTTGAGTACACTGATGATCCTTGCACGTGAATTCTATTCTATTATTAATGATAACAAGAAGCTTCCTATGTTTGTGCGTGAACAAAAACTTGTATTAGAAAGTGAAGATCATCAATGTCCGAAATGTGGATCGGAAATGAGAGACGGTAAACGTCAAAAGACTTTAAAGGATGGTAAGTGATTCACTCCATTTGCAGCTACTATTATCTATGCTGACTTAATCGTATTCCTAGGTACAGTGTCAACATATGAAATAATGTTTTTTTCTGTACTTTTAATTTACTAATTCTTTGTTCTTTCATTTTGACATTAAAAGACTATAAACATAACCTTACTGAATTTTTTCAACATAGGGGAACACTAAATGCGTATGGGGACCACCAGCTTTAACGTTACTAAGGGGAACACTAAATACATACGGGGAGCACCAGCTATAATGGTACCTCACTTTTTTCGGTTCCGTGGGGGAACACCGAATAAGTATGGGGAGCACCAGTTTTAATGTCACCATGTTTTTGGAGGAGCACCTGCTAAAGGAATACCATATAAAGTAAATGAAATGGATCAGTTTTATTTAGTTTGATAAAACATACAAGTATATACATCAGAGCAGTGTCTTCTTATTTCGGTTGATTTCTATCTTTATTTTCTGCTTATTGTTTCATAAGCCACCTGAGGAGACCCTTTGGCAAAGGTCGAAACCGGTAGTGGTATGCCACTTTTTTCTTCTAAATTTCGGTTTCTTTCCGCTGTGTTTCAATTTCTGAATGACTATTTACTAACGTAGGGTGCAAAAGCCATTCTATTTTAAAACAGTCAGTTTTTATTTCATTTATTATGTTGCCGATGGTGATTATATCACCTGAGTTACTCACTCTCATGGGTACTCAACACTCCGCAACACTCGATGTTATGATACACACCTTTAATTTCTTGCAATATTATTATTAGTATTCTTCTACAACAGGCATTTTACTTACACAATGAACAACATATATCGACTGACATTTTCACTAATCGTTCTATCGATTATAATTATTCTCTTTCTTGAGATATCCTGAAAGACACACAACAATGGCATATTTCAGACAATAACGTAGAAATCTCCATTTTCACTTAGAACTGTAAAAGAATTTCTTCATAAACATAAGATCAATGATCTGAATTTCTGAATGGTTCTAAAAAACAAAAGAAATTTTGTCATAAAAATCATAATTTTGGAATTGTAGATTAAGTCCACTACAAAAAATCAAAAATTCCGGTAGCGTATATTATATCATATTTTTGTGTAACATTTCAGTTTGTCTCTCTCAGTTGAAGAAAATGAATTAAAGTAGTAGTCATATAAAATTCTGTACATTTTTCCTAGAATTTCTACGAAAATGTATTACAATCTTTCGATCACTGATAAATGGAAATTTACGTAAAATATCTGAAAGAGAATCACTAGAATGTTTAAGCATTTATACCATTGAATAAATATGCAAAGATAGGTCAATAAAATTTATCCAAAAAGTCAAACTCATTTTAAAATAGTAATTTTTAATAGAAAGAGAGACCGTCTAACATATTCACTGATTTACTCACAGATGACACATGTACTGACGTTTCACTTTATTTTGGCAATACGAAGCATAATGCGGTCGATAATCAACGTCATTGTTCCCATAGTATACCATTTTGAATCGCTAACAAAGTCATCAGCTATCCAATTTTAATGATGTACAAAAAACAGGCTGATAAAAATGTTTCAATATGACTTTTCAGTCATATTGAACACAGTATACTTTTTTGTTTCGTTGATCGAAATGTCTTCAATATTCTAATAGACAGTATTGTATCCAACATCTGCAAACAATGATGCCGTACTCTACGTTGACTAATGTATAACTTAGTCTATTTACTAGTTAGTAAATATGGAACCGATGATATGAGAGAGAATATAGTAACTGAAAAATATACAAACGAGTTGAAAATGAGTGAATTATACACAATAATGTGATAATAATATCCTGTATCTATTTAAAAAAAAACTAACATGAGAATCATTTGATGGAATATGAAGTTTGCAAATCGTACATAAATGCGTGGCAAAACTAAGAAACAGTAAATGGATCATTTAGAGGAGGATTACTACTAAAATATGTTTGTTAGCTGTAGTTTCGTAGCCTGTAACTAGACTACCATATCTAGGTATGCACCAGTTAAAAACTGGTTTTTGATATTTTCTCTCTTTCTGTTGGCTGTGTTCTAATGAGTAACGAGAAATGAAACAAGAGGACAGGTACATCTGAGGAATTGTGTTTCTTCTTGCTCTTAATAACGTTTATTGATACTTTAGTTAACGTTTTATCGCTCATGCGTGCAGCTAGTAGGGGTGGTAATTGTCAATTATATTAAAGAACGAAAAAGTGACTGTAACTGTTGCACATTCAGTCAGTGCTTTTTCTGCTTTCATCAGATATGTCTCATGTTATAAGTTATCGGATGGGCACACTGTTTCCGCTGTCATTGGAACCGCAGCTTGTGTACTATATGTGAGTGTGTCGTTTTCATTAACGTCGAAAGATTTACGAGTTCTCTTCATCATCACATATCTAGAAACTGTTAAGTTAATTCAACAGACAGTAAAAAACGTAACATAAAGAAGAGAAGTAGCGCGAATTGTGTTCAAGTCAAGACTTAGATAGAAAGCTTGATGAAGAGTCTTATTATGTAAAGAAAAGTGTAGGATTTCTGCGAGATTTTCAGAGAAACTGGCCTTGATTTTCTTTGCTAAAGAGCCATGAGATCATTCTCCGCCGTTTGTGAATAACTTGTTCAAGCCAAGACATGAGAATGACCAGAAAAATATGCAGAATTTTCTCAGAAATTTTCAGATCATACTTTTGAGAAAATTTGGTGTCGCTTTATAATCAACTTCTCTGATTGGTTCTCATTGTTTAAGAGATGAACAAAAGCGACAGTGTGGTGATTTGTCGACAGATCGTCCGATAATTTCATCGAAACACCATGGACACTTAATAACACCGGATGATTTGTCGACAAACCACCTACGGTTCGGTCGTAATGTCATCGTGACTTAGACGATGGAAATTTTATGCGCAAGGTCAGGCAGTTTATCTTTTTACTCTCATCTGGTGATTTGTTCACAAATCACACGATTGTGTTGAGAATCAAACGGTGTATCGATGAAAATGTCGGGCGATCTGTCGACAAATCACCGCACTGTCGCGTTTGTTTACTTCTTTAAACAATGGCAACCAATCAAAGAAGTTGAACCTAAAGCGACATCAAATTTTCTCAGGCTTTTTGTTTCTCAAAATTATGATCTGGAAATTTCTAAGAAAATTCTCCTGGTCTAACGGCCAAGAAAAAAAAGAGCTTCCTTTCGTGATTCTTAGACGTTTTTTTGGGGCAGTTTTATTTTGCCTTAAATATATTGCAAAAGAATTCTAATCAATAAGCTAGTGCACCTGTTGCGCCGAGTATGCCATTAACAGAGGCGTTTCTAACTTTGTAAGCGAATCGTTGGGTGTTTCCACCGTCATCGAATTCTGATGTGGGAAACCGTTGACCATGTCGATGTAAAATGTGAACTTGAGATACTTTACAGTCTGAGGGTATTTCGTTATATTCAACACCGAATCCATCTGCTGGATGATAAGGAGACAAGTTACCCCAATAACGGCTCTTATCAAATCCATCTGCGTACGATAACCTAGTTTGTTGAGCTGAAGAAAAAGAAAGGGTTTCGTAAGTTAAATATGGTATAGACTGATAGATCTCTTCGAGACCTATCGAATGGTACAAGATATATCCGTTTTTAAAGCAAGCTCGAGATCATTATGACCTAAAACCTAGAGAACAGAACCTGCCGAAGTTTGTTACGGTTTAGCGCAGCGAACCATTATAATGCCTGTTTAAACAGTATTCCCGTTTCTACTTTTTACACTAATTTTAAGTCTATGTGTATGAAACGTTATTTCTCCGTAAAGAACAAAGTAACGTTCTTGATTACTTTTCGCCATGTTCCACTCAATGTGTGCGTGCTCACTCAATTATCAGAAGTTGAAACGTTTGATTTGTTAATGTTTAATAAGTTTGAAATTGTTTGAAATTAAAATACAGAACCAAAATATCTAAGTTTAACGCAAATAGTTATTTCCTTTATGTGTGTTATCGTATTTTTCTTTTTTGTGCCTTTTCCCTTTAGCTTTTTCGTTTTTGTTTCGATAGTGTCAGATATTGGTCATTGTACTGAGAGAGCATCAAAATTTCTCTGTCAAGTCCTGCAACCTTTTGTCGACGGTTCATCTAAATTTATTAAGGAGAAATATCACTGCGAGTTGTGAATAGTACAAAAGAATTGCTTATTGAGATTGAGTCTGTGAACGAGGAGATTCTGAGTCGAACGCTCGATTTAGGTAAATTTTGGTTTGCTACGACAGACATCGAATCTTTATAGACTAATATTCCTATTGACGAAGGTGTAGGAAGAGTGTCAAATTTCGTTTTTGAAAATAGACAACCTTCCAGCATATCTATCTCACGTCAGGGGCTTGTCGGATTGCTCAAAATACTGTTAGGTAATAACATCTTTCATTTTGGAGGAAAAATTCTATATACAGAAATTCGGCACGGCAATGGGAACCCCACATGCTGCACCATATGCTAACCTGTTTGTTTTATTAAATGAAGTGAAGCTATTCGACAAATGCGAGAAGTTACCTTTTCGATTTTTTCGCTACCTGGACGATGTCTTAATCCTTTGGTACGGCGATAGAGTAGAAGCTGAGCAATTTCTTTAAACTGAATACAGAAAATCCGAATCTAAAATATAAAGTGGAACGTTTTGATGAGACGATGATCAATTATCTGGACGTGTCAATTACAAAAAAATACAATACTCAACAAATTGATCTCGAAACTTTTCAAAAAACCCACAGACACTTTCCAATACGTTCGATCAGAGTCAGGACATCCTAGGTTTATATTGAACAATTTAGCCACTACACTGGCATATAGAGTTAAACGAATTTGCAATGATGATATCGAGAAATGGCGAGAATACGCCAATATTGTTCATCGATTGAGTAAACGAGGATATAGGTGCTAAAGAAATAAAAGAATTTGTACTTGGGACATCGAGAAATGTGTGTCGCAGGTCAGTGGAACATGGCGCACCCAAATGTGTTTCCAAAGCTGTTGTTCCGAAAAGTAATCAAGAAAGTTACTTTGTTCTTTAAGGAGAAATAACGTTTCATACACATAGACTTAAAATTAGTGTAAAAAGTAGAAACGGGAATACTGTTTAAACAGGCATTATAATGGGTCGCTGCGTAAACATAAGGGATCGAGTTTCTCACGAAAACGACGAACGGTCGGTCTAAATCGAATGTTGAAAAACATTTTTGTTTATTAGTAAAAAATGAATCGAATTTATCGAATCTTGAATTATAGAGCTCTCACGTGTATTAATCAACGGGCAAAATGAAACGGATGAGACAGTGTGCGAACATTGACCATGTAATAATACTTACACACGATGTGATGGATTATGGTCATGTAAAGATGGAGCTGATGAGATCGATTGTTCAGATTCGACTTGCCCTAGGTTCCAACACAGTTGTGTCTTTCCGAACGACGCATTCCAAGTCATGTTTGCCAATTATTCGAGCTGGGGACGGTATCACAGACTGTCTTGGCGCATCGGATGAACGAAATCGTTGTCGAGCACTTGATGCGCATTTTTCTATGTATAGTTTTTGCTGTTGGAATGACACAAAGTGTATTCCACTTTCTCGACTCTGTCACCAGGTGATGCACTGTCGATTTAGCGACGATGAAACGTTCTGTACGAACCATGGAAATCCAATGAATGAGTTATGCACCTTTCGGCCATCCTCTCGAACAGTAGTTGAAAACGTTTTCTATAATATTACCGATTGCTTCAGGTCACCAAGAATGATATATTTCAAACTACACAATATGCCTACCTATTTTTTGGAGATAACGAGCGACATTAACTCACCTGCGCAACCGATTCAGACCAAACCGCAATTGATTCAAACTGAATCAATAGTCAGCGTTTCAGATGCTGAAGGGGTGGCGGTGTAATCGAGGACTTCGTATCCATTTTCGGGTGGATAGTGACAAATACAACCTGTCTTGTCTCTGTCCACCGAGTTACTACGGAGAGCAATGCCAGTACCAAAATCAACGCATAAGCCTTACATTTCAAATACGAGTCACCTCAGAATGAAACAGCATATTCGCTTTCATAATTACTTTAATCGACAATGAAGGAAATATTGAATCACATGACCACATCGAATATTTACCATACGAGATTGCAGAACTAAATTCAATGTCTATTTGTCCTATTCAGCTGGACCGAAACATATCTACAAAACTATTCAGTACGAAACTAATACATTTAACCAACTGGGATTTGACTATCGAGCCAGTGGGATTTTTCCACTTCAATTTCCGTTTCTACCGGTACATCGCCTATCCGTTTCCGCCTGTCCGAATCTAAAATATAAAGTGGAACGTTTTGATGAGACGATGATCAATTATCTGGACGTGTCAATTACAAAAAAATACAATACTCAACAAATTGATCTCGAAACTTTTCAAAAAACCCATAGACACTTTCCAATACGTTCGATCAGAGTCAGGACATCCTAGATTTATATTGAACAATTTAGCCACTACACTGGCATATAGAGTTAAACGAATTTGCAATGATGATATCGAGAAATGGCGAGAATACGCCAATATTGTTCATCGATTGAGTAAACGAGGATATAGGTGTCCAAAGTTCAAAAAGTTGATAAATTAGACAGATTGGATTTTTGCTCTATTCAACTCGACCGAAACATATATCAAAAAACTATTCAGTACGAAATTAATACATTTAACAAATTATTGATACATTAATACAAATTAATATTGTCTTATTTGAGAAACAGATTTTATTGGATCACAGATGCGCAATTTATTCTATGTTGAAAAATGAATTGGTTATTAAAACGATGCTAGTCAGTTGTTGATTATATTCCTTACAGAAGGAAAGAAACAGGTTGCCATAAATATATTAGAAGAATATCCAAAATCTAACACAGTTAACACAATTCAGAAATAATACCGGCCTCTATTTTCTTGTCAATATGAATTGTAATATGTTCATGGGTATTTGTGCAATATTATTGGCAGCAAATATTTACAGTATTCATGGTGACGCTTATGTCAAAACAATAAGGCGGCAGAAGAAACAGGCTTGTGCTAGAACAAGTAAGTGTATCTGTTTTTTTAATAACCGTAAATGGTCCATACCATATTTAACTTACGAAACTGTCATATACCAGGCGATGCTAAAGTGAAGAATACTCTCTCTATCCTCGGGTCCTAAGCTGTGGTTGACAAATAAAATGAAATAAGTGCCAGTGTATAAAATTTATTGTGCAACAAGCGGTTGAAAATGAATATGTGCTTAATTGAAAAAAAATGAATAGGACTAACTAATATGACTGTATACGGATAATATATAGTATAACAAGAGAAAAAGCTAGAAGTCTATGCCGCGTCATAAAGAGAGAAAAATACATCTATGGTTTTATCTGGCGATTTGTATATAAAAAAATAGAAGAAAACAAAGAGAAAAATAATGGACTATGGTCTAACTAAATATACGAATAAAGAACTATATGCCTGGAATGTGAATGAGAAGACAAAGAGAAGTATTAAAAACAGAAATTATCACGTGCATTGACATGTGAATGAAAAAGACGAACTGTCCAGGTTCGTAACAGAAACCCTTTCTTTTTCTTTAGCTCAACAAACTAGGTTATCGTACGCAGATGGATTTGATAAGAGCCGTTATTGGGGTAACTTGTCTCCTTATCATCCAGCAGATGGATTCGGTGTTGAATATAACGAAATACCCTCAGACTGTAAA